TCCAGGTGGTTGTGACTCCTGTCAACTGTGTGGGGATCCAGTTTTCCTAGCACACTTAACCCCTAACGCCGACTGAGGGAGGAGTGTCTTTGTTCATCCAGGTAGTGAGATCTAGTGGACCACAGTTGGAATCTCATGGTTCAAAATCCAGAACTTGCAGCTAAGGTCAGAATTTTCCATATACATACTTTTTTTCCTGTCTTGAGGACATTTCACTTGCATATTTTTTCCCTGTCTGAGGACATTTAACATATCCTTTTTTTCCCTGTCTGGAAGACATTTAACATACATATTTTTTCCCTGTCTTGAAGACATTTAACAAACCATATTTTTTCACTGTCTGAGGACATTTGAATATTTATTTTTCACTGTCTAATGTCATGAGATATTTGAACACTTGTCAATAACACATAACAGTCTAAGATCGGATTTCACATATAATAATAGAATTATTGGGTCTGTTAGAGACTCTGTGAACCCAAAGTATAGGCCTATATGAAGGGAAATCTACCCTTGTACTGAGTTACAATCATAGTACATATTTACCACCATTTTGAATACCTATTGTTGATATGTTAAGGTGAATAAATCTGTTAACAGTTATTTTGGCTTATATTTATATCTTGGATTTTTTTCTCAGTAATTCAGCTGTGAAAACTGAGTGGCGCCTGACAAAAGGATAACCCCACTAGTTACCTATTAAAAGAACTAACTCACGACCTGCTCCCAAACAAACGAGCTGCCGTGCCTATAACAAGTAAAAATCTTTTTCTTTTCCAAAACATCAAAAGAGTTGTTATACATTCACCAAGAAAGATAAAGGAAGAAATAAAAGGAAACCGGTATTTTGGTGGACAGAGGACATAGCAGAACAGAGAAGGGTGTGTCTAGAGTCACTGGATATCATTAGTTTGATAAGAGTTTGGACACAGAAATGACAACGGTTAGGATTTTTGAATGTTTAGATTTATAAAGTTACACACCTTGCATTGTGACAAGAGCACCATAGTCGTCCCGCGCTTTTTCATTCAAATTTCTTTGAATTTGACAAATCATTTCATGAACGTCAGAATTGAAATGAAATTTCATAATTTTTATACTTTCGAGATAAAAGCAGCTATGGAAATCACTTGCTGTATAATAAATTGTGCCAATTTTGAAACAAATGGATACCATTTATTCGATTTTCCAAATCAAATATCAAGCATTCGCTTATGAAAGAAAGATATGAAACGACCTGGGTCGAAAATCAATTTGGAGACGAGCGAAATTTGTGAGGTACTCATTGAAATTCACTTCTTAAAACAGCATCTGATTAGAATGAATCTATATTTTAGGCCCATTTTTAAACAGAAGATTTCAAAATCTGTTCGGAAGAATCTGCTGTTCCATCAATTTACAAATCAGACGATTTCAAGAACAAAATTCCATTATTATCATCACACAAAATACAAAACGAAATAATCATGGAAAAAGGGGAAATGATCGCAAAATTACATTATGAAATTGAGAATTTGAAAACGAAAATAAGAAAAGCAAGTAAACTACAACGTGATATATTATTGAATGGCTTTTTTGGTGTTGACCGCGAATTCAAAATTCAACAGTGAAAAGTGAATAGATATTTATGTATCAAGGGAATTATTATAAGGGCCTTAATTACGCTGGAGGTTATCGTTTTGGAGATATGTTCTATATCGATCCATGTTACTTTGCTCCTAGGGCGCTAAGTGGAGTTGCTGAGAACTTAACAAAACCAAGTATTTGGTAGGTGTCGTCAAAATAAATTACTTTCCCATGAAATCTTTATCGAAAAGTGATTTGTTCTCTGTATTTCAACACCCTGTATCTCCGAAATGAAGCATTTCCGGACACAAGCTTATATAAACTTTATTTCTTGAACTTGTCTCAGGAATACTTCACTGGAGTACAGTTTCACATACAATAAGGAATTATAGCTATAAGTTTATCCATATGTATAATATATCCTCTGATATTAAAATTATTATATTATTATTGAAATTTATATAATACTTGCTCTGCTAGAAGTGTATCACTATGGATTGAAGTGGGTGTTTGTACCCTATATCCATTGTCCATCTACGGCTATGATTGATTTGACAGAAAATATAACCTCTAAAATCGTATCTGACAATCAGGTGCTACTAGGGAAATTGAAAAGACAAAGAGCAGAATATATGTCTTATTCTTTTTTTCACTTAAGCCATTGTATTATAGAAAATAGGAAAGGACAAAAGTTCAGCTGTGTCCGAACTCTTATCAAACTAATACCATCCAGTGACTCTAGGTGTGTCTAGGTGAAAAAAGGAGACTAGATCGGTGGAATGGATCCAACACAAATGGGAAAACTAAGGAAACACTGAGACAGGAATATTAGGAAGCACGGAGAGAACTGAAGAAGCAAATGGAAGAAGCTAAAAATGAGTCTTGGAAACAGCTCTGTGAAGAAGTCGACGGTGATATATACCGACGAGGGTATAAGATAGTAACGAAGAAAGTAGGAACTGCACTCCCAGCAGAGATGACTAAGACGAAAACTGAAGAATAAGAGGACACCATACCAGATGGCTTCACTGCAGAGCTTGTAAAAGCCATAGTGGAACGATACCCAGACTTCATGTTGCATATTGCGAACAATATAATAAGAGAGGGAGAGTTTCCAAATGAATGGAAAGTGGCTAGGCTAATACTTCTCGAGAAAGAAAGAAAAAGCGAGCAGCAAGATAAGTCACATAGACCACTCTGCCTTACCAGCTGCCTTGGGAAGTTGATAGAAAATCTGATTGTTGATCGAATTAACATCACGCTAGAAAGAGGAATGGGGTTATCAGACCTACAGTTCGGATTCAGAAAACGTAGATCCACAATTGATGCAATGGAAATAGTGAGACAGAAGGCGGAAGAAATCAATAATCAACCAAAATGAAGGAGGAAATATTGTTCACTAGTTACCCTTGACGTGGAAAATGCTTCAAATTCTGTTCCATGAAAAGGCAAAATAGAAGAATTGAAAAGACGGCAATTCCCGTACTATATTGTAAGAATAGTCCAGAGCTACCTGAAAGAAAGGTATCTGGAGCTTGATGGAAACGACAGATACAGAATCACATGTGGAGTACCACAGGGATCTGTGCTAGGATTGGTGCTTTGAAACATTTATTATGATGCAGTTCTTGGAATTGATATGTCAGAAGGAACAACTCTAGTGGGCTTTGCAGATGACCTTGCGATGGCGATAGTTGCAAAAACGGAAGATGAGATAGAAACGTATATTGGGGAAGGAATAGACAGGATAGAAAGGTGGATGAGGAGAAAGAAACTGAGACTGGTTACACACAAGACAGAAATTGTCCTGCTCAGCAAAAAAAGGATACCACGCCGTATAAGAATAGAACTGGATGAAGACTACATGGAATCCCAAGACAACATGAAATATCTGGGAGTTTGGTTTGAAAGGAATATGAACATGAGAGACTATATTCAAATAGTGGCAAGAAAAGCTGAAAGAACAGCTATGGCACTCGTCAAGATAATGCCAAATAAAGGAGGACCCCGATCGAACAGAAGGAGAGTACTAAGCTCAGTGGTGCATTCTATTCTTTTGTATGCTGCGCCAGTATGGAAAGAGGCACTGAAGGTGAAGAGAAATGTCAAAGCCCTAGAGAAGGTTCAAAGGAGAATGATGCTGAGAATATGTAGTGGATACCGTACGATATCAACGGAAGCAGTAGGTGTCATCTCGAATACACTACCAATAGACTTGTTAGTGGAGGAGAGGACACGGACATACAAAAAGGGAACAAATAGGAAAGCCATCAAACAGGAAATGATGACTATATGGCAAAGGAGATGGGAAGAAAACACTGAGAAGGCAATGTGGACGAAACGACTGATAGAAAATGTGAGAAATTGGTGTGACAGAAAACATGGGGAAGTGGACTACCACATGACCCAGGTATTGAGTGGTCATGGATGTTTCAAAGTATACTTCGAAAGGATAGGAGTCACTCAGGACGACGCATGCTGGTACTGTGGAAGGGAGGATACTGTAGCCCACACTATCTTTAACTGCGAGAGATGGCAAAATCTCAGGATGAGAACGAAATAGAAGTAGGAATACTGACACCAGATACCTTGATTGAATGCATGATGAAGAGTGAACAATCATGGAATAAAATCTCAGGTATGATAAGAAAAATAATAAGCACTAAGGAGAAAGACAAATTAACACACATGTGAAACAGTTAGAAGGAAGTGCAGAAGATGATGTGAAGTAATGTCTAGCGATGGTCCCATATCATTTTTGGAGATTGGAGGTGTTTTAGTGGGTAGACCGCATGGGAGTCCCACACGAACATGTGTCCTAGGAACATGTAGTCTATAAAAGATTTCACCTCCAAAAAAAAACAACAACTACTACTACTACTACTACTATTACTACTACTACTTCTATTACTACTACTACTACTATTACTACTACTACTACTACTACTACTACTACTACTACTCCCCTCGGGGCTCACAACTAGTGAGTACGTGTCTGGCAAGCCCAAGGTGCCCTAGCTGGATCTCATTCTGTTTCAACTAGTCTTGGATGGGACCCTTCTCTTTTTATCTTTCCTGTCAGACCTTCCTTGGTCAACTCTTGTTTCTTTCCGACATCGATGCTATTAGGCTTGCGAGGGCTAGGGGTCATTCCCGATTTCCTCCTACTCTCAATCTGAAAACGGAATCTACGGTGTAAGCTGACGTGCCAATAGATGAATGGCCACACGTGAGATCGGTCGCGAATGGTGCCTCTGGAGATGTGGGCGTCTCTTCAGTAGTATATAGCCTTATCACGGCAAGCGGGGCTCTGCCGTAATGGACCCTCAGTACCCTAGCTACTCGTGGGAATAAGATGGAAGGAATTGAAAAGAAAAACTTAGCAGATGAAGGAGATACAGAAATACCGGTGACAAGCCAGGAAGATCCAAAAGATGAGAAGAAAGTGCACAAAGTACATGATGATGATATGGTCGAAACACAAAATCCTTTCGCGAGAAGTAGAGTATTAGCATGGAAGCCAGAAAGGAGGCAAAGAAGCGAATCTTTACCTGCAGAAGTTGAAGAACTAGGCAAAATCACGAAAAGAGAAAGACAGATCAGTAGCGAAAAGGAAGAAAGGGTGGAGGAAAGAGACCACATAGCCAAAGGTATGAACAAGATTCAAAAATTGATCGTACAAACAGACTCATATGTCTAGGACTTATGTAGGGTATCGGGGAAATCCCTAACACGAAAAAAGAAATCAAAGAAATATCGCTGTAGCTTAGGAATCCGCTGAATCGATTAATGAAAGAAGACATGCAGGAGATACTGGAAGCAAGACAAGTAACTGAAAGAAAGGAATATTCTCATGAGATGACTGAAGTGGAAGTGGAAATGAAGAAGAGCTGTTGTGATGTGGAAACACAAACAAAATAAGAAAATGGGGAGGAGGTAGAGCATGCCACTGGCGAAGAAAACATACTGAATGAACTATTTCAAGTTGACAGCTATAAAACATTCAAGGAACTGGCAGCGGAGAGTTGGCCAGAAGAAATCTATGAGAGATCCAAAGTCGAGTTCACAGATGCCATATCATATGACGACAGCTATGATCAGGTATACATCCTGGATAGACATAAGGATGCTGACAACCCATTGATAAAAAGGCTGATGAAACAAAGAGGACAGATGAAATGTGCCATCTTCAATAAGAATATTGACTATTGTAATGGTCCACTTGAACCTTACAAGTCCCTTCTCCTATTCATTTTCTTTCAGTGCAATCAGTTCGGAGTAACACTCAGTATGCATCGTATTTTCAACAGAGAAATAATAATTCAGCATTAATTTGTCGGGACAACCTGTATATAACTTTCATCTTCTTCCTGTCATTGTGATCGAGTCATACGTGAAGATGCTGGTATGCTTCCCTGCTAAGAGTTCCACTTGTGGATGTGTTTATATTATTCTTAGTTTTGTCTACAAACTCGCGACTCCTTCTTCTATTTATAACAATTAAAATATCAACATAGATAATTCACTTCTATATGATTGCCTCACCTGTGTTATTGAAACAGTGTGGACAATCGATGTCATGTTAAATACAAAGTCACTAGATAAGGCCAATTTACATAGCACTCAATTAGACCCAGCGCTCTGATTTCCTAGTGTTCTGTGTCTAAGTACGACGGTGTGATCTTGACCCCGCCGAAATTCGAGCAAGATTGACGGAGATCGTTCTTTCTCGACTGGCGCTTGGCAGAGCAACAAGTAAATTTTTACATTCTCTCGAAATTTTTTTTTTTTATCGATTGGAGCGCACGAAAGGGAATCCCTATAATGTTCAAAGAACATCGTGCGTTTCTAGGGAGGATAGGGACAGGAGGTAGGTATTGGAATTTTTTTTGAATTTTTGGAGATTATATGTTGTTGGGAATACTTCCACAGGCAATGAATTCCAGAGATTAGCCGTTCTATGGATGAAGGAGTCTTGATAAAGTGCTGTTCGACATCTCTCGAGGTCGAAATGCCAATTATATTGAAAACAGGCCGATTAAAAACTATAGGCCTTTTTGGTTTCTACTGAACACATTTGCAATTTGGTGATGATGTGCAATATGCACTTGCGCACATGACATGTCGTCATGGCGGCAGTTTGATCATAACCTAACCTGTTGATGTTTTGGTTAAATGTGATGTATATTTCACAATTGGGACTTGTGGTTCGATGCCTCTCAAATTTCAATCCATATTATTGCTGATGGGGCAATAACAAGTGTTCGTCAGCTGTTGAAGTTTGCTGCCTGTTTTGTTTGTTTGGATACCATGTATATGAATGAATTGGATACCATTTGCTGATGCAATTTATGGAGTATTAGGAAGCCCCCCATATAATCAATGGTTAATTTTGAGTGAGAGTATAATGATATGGATGACCCTCAGTGAGTACTACTTGTGATGTAATTCTTGATTACCATTGAGGAGTTGAAGAATGAAGACATAGATCTTCACTAGTGTCTTACTTTGTTTACCTTGTAATAAGTGTGTTCTCCTATTTGTGAGAAACGAAATAACAGCTGCTATTTCCTTTCGTAGGAAACCTAGGTATTTTTTTTTACATTTATTATTCCCAGTTACCTGTTTACTTATTATTATTACTTGCTAGCCACAGTGAGGCTGTCATAGATTTAATCTCACTAACATTACATCTCTTGGCATTGCCTAGAATAGAGTTGAAACACTCACCTATTCATTGATCAAATTTCACTAACATTGTAACCTTGAGTAATCTATATTGAATTTCAATTCAATCATTACAATTAGTCATTACATTAACATTAATTGTAGTTAAACACTGACTTATTACACACTGCGTGTAAGCACTTCTAACATCATTAAGGTAATTATATGCATGGTTTTCAAAAGGTATAGTTTGTTCTGTCCTATCCTAATTCGTCTCAGTTAACTCTGAGTGGCGCCCATAGTTTGCTTTATAGATAACATCTTGTAGAAAAACAAATAGAAAATAATTCTCTCAAAATCCCACGACCGCTCTACGACTATAAAGGCCACCGTGCATTGAGGCTTTAATTTCTTTTTGTGAAGTTACGCCACATAAAATTGGCGCCTTAACGTGTGGGGCCTATTTTTGAATTCGCAAATGTCAGCTATGCATTAATTGTTTGTACTATTGAGTTTTTCAAAGCCCAGGCAAAAGCAAACAAATCTCTGTACCTTCCCAAATTCCTAGGACAAAACAAAAATCAAACCTTTTGTTTACTGCATAATATTATTTGCAAAGATTTACTTTTGATTTGCAAACGCCTTCCAAACAAAAACAGCAGCAGTTCCTTTATTGAATTCCATTCAAGATTGTCAGGTTTTTTCACGTCTGATTCGATTTCATTCATACAGGGTGAACGTAGTTGGATATAATTTCAGATTACTGAAAAAATATATATTTATTCTTCAACACTTTTGCATAATCGTTTGAGAGCGATACTTTTTGGTCACTGGTGAGTATATATACATGGTGAACCAAATAATTGTATGCTGGTTGATAATCCATTTACATGAGGAAGATTGTATTTTGAGTAAGTACCTGCTAGAATTCATGAATTTTTGGTAAGTGATTTATTGAGAATTTCTGTGTTGATTGTACAGGGTGATTCTGAGTTGTATTCCGAAGTGAGCTGCATTGATTAATTTACTGTGTTGTTAGTTATTCCTATTCATTGAGTTTTGCTAAATTCTCTCACAAGATTCAGTACCTTTTCTCTTGGATTACATACAGGGTGTTCTCCTGAGTGACTGATTTGACAGCACCCTTTTGTAAATTTTGAAAGAATTATTCAACTTCATGATGAAGGCTGATTACAATATAGATCCAAATCATCGGAGGACTAAAGAATTAAATTACGAATTACGTATACGGGGTGTTGCGGTAGACAGGGCAGACACTGATCAAAAGAGGAAATTTTTGAGAAGAGAGTTAAGACAAGATTTAGCTAGACCTGATGTCCAGTATGTGACACCAGATTTTGATTTCCAAGATGAAAGTTCAGAAATTTCAGAAAGTATAGAATCTATCGCTGAATTAGTTAACAATTTTGATGGTATCAATGAGGAAATTTTCAAGCGGGTGAAGAGTCGAATAAATCATGTACTAGGTCGATTATGTAGAATACCTAAGGATTCAAGTCATGTTGAAGTTGTAAATTTTCGGGGAGATAATATTATCTTAGTTAGTACTCTTGAGGAAGATTTAACTGAAATTCGGGATCAATATTTGAAAGGACGAATAGTAAACCAACCCAACTCGGCTCAAGAACTTTCAGTAAACACTGTTGCTAGTAGATCAGTACCAGTTTACAAATGGGGTATTACTTTTGATGGGACTCTTAGGAATGGTTCCCTTAGGTTATTTTTACACCGTGTTGATGAGTTACGCACTGCACGGAATTGTACAAAACAGGACTTGTTTCAATCATCTTCAGATTTATTTGATGGTATTGCGCGAGAATGGTTCAGATCTCAGTCTCGACAAAATCGTTTTAACTCTTGGGATTCATTAGTAGATGCCCTTAAGAGAGACTTTTTGCCATCAGACTATGATGATCAACTTTGGTAAGAAATCCGCTATAGAACTCAAGGTCATGATGAACGGATTGTAGTTTATTTATCTCTGATGGAGAATTTGTTTAGTTGCTTGATAGATGTCCCACCCGAGAAAGAAAAATTGAAAATCATCAGGAAGAATATTTTACCTCGTTATCAGTCACACTTGGCATTGCAGTCGATCGACAACATTAGTCAACTTTTGGAAATATGTAGAGCTTTAGAGGATGCAAAAGTAGTTCAAGCCAGATATCAACCTCCACCTAAACGAAATATTTCTACACTTGAACCAGGTTTAGCTTATCATTCCTCAGGAAATTCTGGCCATCAATGTTGTTGCAATTCTAGTAATATTGATAATAATAATCCAAGTACCAGCTCAAATGTTGTTTCTAGTATTCAGATTAGGAATGAGAGGTATTCTAATAATAATAATTACCGTGGTAATAGTATAAGTTATGGACATAGAAATTTTAACAATAATAATTCTCAGAGAAAATTTTCAAGTGATAATACTAATAGACAGGTTGCTGTTATGCAGGAAAATAATGTTCAGTCGGATAATCGTAATTTCAGAGAGAATAATCGGCGCAAGGCACCCTATTGTTTTGGTTGCGGTAAACCTGGTGTCATACGTCCTAATTGTCCGTTGTGTTCAAAAAACGATCAAAGGGGAAGCGCAAGATAGACCGGTGCTCACCTGATGATTCTTCAATGGCCTACTATTGTTGTAGTATTGAAACTCCACAATTAAATGTCAGATTATATCCAAATAGAATTTTTCTTGCTTCTAAAATAAAATCACCCTCTAGCAATGAATGGAAATCATGGTTGAATGTTGTTAGACAAATGTACATAACTAAAGTTGTAAATAATAATTCTTCGAAATCAAGAGAGACAAATACGGTTTTTGTGAATAAAGCAAATGATGACAGACCTTATGTTGCTGTACATATTTTTGGCAAACGGATTATCTGTTTAGTAGATAGTGGTGCAAGCCATAGCGTTATAGGAGGACCTGGTATGGACTTGTTGAGAGTTTTTGGTTTACAAATTCTAGATTGTGCTGACTCAAGTATTAACACAGCTAATGGAGCT